TTTTTTTAAGCCTTGGTTTACTCATTTGTGAACTGGGATAAAAACTACCTCATAAGACAGTTTTGAAGATTAACTAAAGGAATGCATGTGAAAACAGTTGAACAGAAATGGGCACATGACAGGCACTCCTTGAGTCACATCTGAATCGAACTGCAGCCTCAGTAACCAGCTGTTTTGGTAAATGAGGTGAAAGATCAGGAAGAAATCAGTTATACATTGGGCTAGCTCTTAATAGCGAAGTTTGCCTTGCTTTTGGAAATTTACACAATGGATGGAAAACAGTTAATGTAACAACGATTAGAATTACATGTCTAATTCTTGTAGTTTCACTTGTGTTCTGTATTTTTCTTTTTGGGCTGTCTTTTCTGTGCTTTTCTTTTACTTATGTTTTGAAAAATATTAATCCTATTTTTAATGCTAATGGCTACCCTTTAAAAAATATTTTAAGACATTTTAACTTTTCATTTTCAAATAATTTAGACTTACAAAACACAAAATTTTCCAAAAATCCTTCTTCACCTAGCTTCCCACATGTTAATAGCTTACATACTAATGGTTACCTTTTGTATTAACAAGATTCTTGAAACTGTATTTCTGGAGTTATCAACTTATTGGACAAGGTTTTGGAATATTTTTTCTTCACGCATTCACTTTTTCTAACTATTTCTAGTTATATAATCTGGGGTTCAGATTTAGATTATTATTGTTCATTTAAAAAATCTTTTAAATGTTTTTCTTTCTGATTTTTGCTGTGCTTACAACTCAGACTTAGACTTGATTCTGTTTCCTCTGGATTTAGTGGTCTCTGTTTCTTTGTACCATGACTTATGTAGGGCCACATTGAGTTGAAGATGTCTGGTGACCAGTATTTCAGAGAGCATTGGGATATATACAATGGTACTTTAAAAATTATTTGTGGAAAAATAGGATTAAAAGATAATAGTAATCTTTCCATGAATTTTTTGAAGCACCCTCATATTTTTCAGTAACTTGAGTTATATAACATTTTATTGTTTAAAAAACAACAACAACAAAAAAAGAAAAGTGAAATCCAGATGAGCAAAACAGATGGTACTGTCAGGTCAAAGCCAGTATTTACTCAAAAAAAGTGAAATCCAGATGAGCAAAACAGATGGTACTGTCAGGTCAAAGCCAGTATTTACTCATGGGCAGCTTTTTCTCTCTTAGGGCATCGTAATCGTGAGTTTGGGTACTGGGTCCAGCTGCACAGGTTTGAATTCTGACAGGAACATGCAGTAGACCATGACCTTCAACTTACTTCACCTCTCTTTCTCAGTTTCCTCCTTTGAAAAATAAAAATACTAGTAGAACCCAACAACAAATGTTAGTAGTTGATGATGTTGATAACAATTTTAAAAACTCTGAGAAATGCTATTTATTTCTATATTTTAGCTGTTACGCATGGTTCTGATAGTTTCTAGAAGATAAAAATAATTCCTGATCCACTACTGGCCAGCTGCCAAAAAATAAAAATTAAAAATAATTTCTAATCCTAACTCTCAGAGATAACCACCTTAGTAAATTTTCTGTCAAAATTTGTAAATATATATTTTTCTTTAAAATGTAATAATGCTACTCATACAGTTCTGGAACTTTTAAAATAATCAAATATATCTATATATGTATGTGTATGTATGGGTGTATATGTACATATATAGTTACTCGTTTATTTATTTATTCACTCATTCAGCAAATAATTGAGAATCTACAAGGTACAGGTGCCCACTATAGAGCCATGAACAAAACAGCTCACACATTAGTGTCTGAGGAAAAGAGACATTAAACAGCTAATTAATTACATGTGACCATGTAATTACTCTTGTGGTATCTGCTTTGAAGAAATGTAAGGAAGTATATAATAGGCCACTTGAATCTGGGGACCATGGATGGATTTCATGTTAATAAATACAATTTTGAAACATTCCTACGAGGTGCTTAGCATTCCACTGGGTGGACATACCATGTTCTTTTTAACCAATTTCTTGTTATTGGCATTTGATTTCATACAATTTATTGGAAGATCTTCTCCTGATAAAAATAGACAAAAATCACACATTTGTTTTGTGGGAGAAATAGCACGTAGCCATGAGGAACGTCAGTATTTAGGGGGCAGGGAGGGGAAGAGAACTCAGTAAAGGGGTCTGAGAAGGAGGAGTAAATGAACTAGGAAGAAAACCAATACAGCAGAGTTCTAGAGACAGGGAGAGCGTTTCTCCAGGCTTCACCAGGACTGTCAGCACTGACCCCTTCCCAGACTAGTTGGGAGGTAGAAGGTTAAGAAAATTGTACCCTCCCCCTGAATTTTGGAGTAAGGGAAAGAATAGTCCAAGTGGGCCAAAAGGGGAGAGTGCTCCTGAATTGCACTCAGTGGACTTGCATAATTTATGGGCTACCAGTGTTCCCTTTCAAAAATTAAAACTTTTTGTTGCTTCTTTAGGAGTTTGTTGCTTTTCCTATTTCATAATTTGTTGATTACTTTTAGGCCTGGTAAATCTATGTACCAACCACTAATGTAGTTTCTTGAAGACTATTCATGTTATTTTTAGTGCTTGATGGTGAAATCTTATATATGAAGAATTAGATTCTATTAAAAGTATATCAGTATTTATACACTGTATCAGTCCACTTTTGATGTGTAATAGGTCAGTCCAAATTCAGTGGTTTATTTATTTTTTTATTATTTTTTTTCAAACTCAGTGGTTTAAAACAACTTATAATTTAGTTGGTCAGGATTCTCTGAGTTGGCAGTTTGGGCTGGGCTTAGCTGGGTGGTTATTCTGCTGGGGACCAGGTTTAGTTGATGCTCTTGGGGGTTCACGCATGTGTGGACAGCAGGCAGGCCAGCTGGGGCTGACTGCAGTCAGCTGGGATGCCTCATTCTTTTCCATGGCACTTCTCGTCTTATATAGCAGGTTAGCTTGGGTTCATTCATATTGTTGGTTTCACGTTTCCAATTGCAGCAAGAGTACAGGTGCCAATGTGTGAATGGTCTTCAAGCTCATGTTTGCTGCTGTCCTGCTGGCCAAAGCAAGTTATGTGACTAACCCAGATTCCGGGGGTAGGAAAATAAATCCCAACTCTTGAATGGAAGAATCTGCTGTATTACATTGCTATGATGTGTGTGCACAGGAGGGAAATATTTGTAGCCCTTTTTACAGTTGACCCCACATGTTTGACACATTTTCATAAACCAGACCAGTCGTTACTCATCTTTTTACAGTATGAAAGTTTGGGTTGTAATGGTGGTACATGTGTCTTATGCATTGTTCAGTCCTTCTGGTTGTCCTGCCAGTACTGTAGTACAGGTGCAGTTAGAGGGTCCTGACTTGATGAAACATATTTATGTGACTTTTTCTCTTCTCAAGATTGCCAACACTCCTGATAACTGAATGTGTCCTGGTTTACATGACTCCAGAGCAGTCTGCAAGCCTCCTAAAGTGGGCAGCCAACAGTTTTGAGACAGCCATGATCATAAACTATGAACAGGTAAAAGGAGGCACAGAGATGTGGATTCTGTCCAGGACTCCAGTGGTGGCTTTCCCTCTCTTAGCACCCTCGGTATACACTTTCCTTGTTCATTTCCTTCTACCTCCGGCCACTCACACATCTCCTTTATTAATTGATTCCAGCAGTCATAGTACTCCTGATTTCTTGACTTCCTAAACTTTTCAGTTAGAGTTTTTGCACCTTCTATTGTAGCCTTTATGAAAGTTTTTCGAGTTCTTATTTTATCAGTGTGTTTACTGTAGAGTCATAGAACATGATGAAGAGGATTTTGGCTACCATCAGTGTAGGGGTAGAAAAGTCAAATGCCTTCGGGAATGAGCAGGTAATGCAAATGGGGAGGTTGGCCAGGTGTAAGAAGTGTGGAACAGTGGGGACTGGAGTGAACTGGAGCACCTGTGTCCCATTTCATGGGCATGGCCACTACTCAGTTCCAGCCAATTGTTACCATGTGGACATGTGAGGCTAGAGTTGCTGGAATTCCCAGTTTTTCAAGAGAAGTTAGAAATGCAGTGTTTTAATGTAAAATTTCCTAATATCTAAAATCACTGAGTTTGGTCCACTGGCTGTCCATTTGCCTCTTCTGATTCAGTGCAAAAAAGGTTATGCTCTAGAACTTTGGAGTGATCCAGCTTGGGTCTGAATCCTGGCCCATCTCTTACTTTTGGCTGTGTGACCTCAGATAGCATTATTTAGCGATTGGGGAGTTCATTGGGAGACTTTCTAGCTGTGTGACCCAGACAAGTAATATAACCTCTCTGTGCCTGTTCCCTCTTCTGAAAGTAGTAATAGTCCCTACTTCATAAGGTTGTTGTGAGGTGTAAATGGGTTAATATATGCAAGAGCACTTACTGCATTGTGGAGTTGATAAGCAGTAGCTGTTATTTGTATCTCTCTGAGCCCCAGTTCTTTGTTTTTAAAGGGATAGTAATAGTCCCTACTTCATAAGGTTGTTGTGAGGTGTAAATGGGTTAATATATGCAAAAGCACTTACTGCATTGCGGGGCTGATAAGCAGTAGCTGTTATTTGTATCTCTCTGAGCCCCAGTTCTTTGTTTTTAAAGGGATAATACCTATCTGTCTGGATTATGGGAATTTGAGAGGTTGTTCAGTGGTGTGCATATGATAAGCTCTGAACACATGGTAGCTATGTCTTTTGTCTTATTTCAGTTTTATTGATTTTATTTGCCTTACGTCCCATTTTCTTTTTAATTTTATTATGGATAAGAGCAGTAAAGGGACTTGCCCAATGTCACATAATTATGCCAGGCCTTGGTCTCTCGACCTCCTTGATCTGTGGCTAGGCCTTGGTCTCTCGACCTCCTTCTCAGTTCCAGTCCTGGTCCAGGTTCTTGTGCAGTTGGCCAGGCCTTGGTCTCTCGACCTCCTTCTCAGTTCCAGTCCTGGTCCAGGTTCTTGTGCAGTTGGTTTTTGTTTGGTGGATTTTTCTTTCTTCCATGTCTTTAATTGGGAGCATTGCTCAGACTCAGTCTTCCATCCTGGTGAAATGGCTGTCATGGAAGCTGGGCTCATCGGTCTTTTCTTTTGATGTGAATAAATCCTGTGAGCCTGCCTGTGCTTTCAGGACTCCGCACCTGGGGAGAATTAATTGCATGCTCCGTGCTTGCACACGTTGTGGATGTGTGCTGCTTCGTGCACTTGCTTTATTACATGCATTCTTTTGTTCAGCACGCAGCCGTTCACCATCGAATGAGAGACGGTGGATTAGTGAATTTTGACCAGAGACCCTGTCACTTTGGAGCAAGCGGGAATGTGCCAGTTTTCAGTATATTGTCCACAGCTGTCCCTAAACTTTTTCAACTCCTACCCCACCATCCTTCCCTTGTGAATAATAAACATTTAACTTAATTCAGTAATTTTCTAACAAATACATAATCATTGGCATTCTCACAACATGTGTTAATTGCTCATGTGCCTTACAGTTAACTAATTAGTAGTTTAAAATGGCAAAACCACATGGATGATGATAATTTCAGTAATGATAACAAAGTAATGATAGATTCTTTGATTTTGCTTACACTGTACCAGGCACAGTTCTGTGAGTTTTACATATATTAATTTAGTTAATTATCACAGCAATCCACAAGCTAGGTACTAGTACTGTCCTGACTTTACAGGTGGAGGAACTGAGGCACAGCGTTAAACAGCTTGTCCATGGCCTCACAGCTAGTAAGTGCCAAGCCAGGATTCAAATCCAGGCAATAAAATGATGGAGCATGATGCTCCCAGACACCTTCTGTCCTGAATGAGCAGTGTGTTGTCTGAGCATTCCCGCCACGTAAGCCTTACTCTGCACTGAAAGAGAATACTGTTGGTGCTGTCTGGCAGTGCTGTCACATGAACTCTGAGAATCATTTACATGTTGTTAAAGTCATAAATTTTTGAAACTTTGTGGATGACAAAGTAATTGTGTATATGCTATACTGTTCACCATCGAATGAGAGACGGTGGATTAGTGAATTTTGACCAGAGACCCTGTCACTTTGGAGCAAGCGGGAATGTGCCGGTTTTCAGTATATTGTCCACAGCTGTCCCTAAACTTTTTCAACTCCTACCCCACCACCCTTCCCTTGTGAATAATAAACATTTAACTTAATTCAGTAATTTTCTAACAAATACATAATCATTGGCATTCTCACAACATGTGTTAATTGCTCATGTGCCTTACAGTTAACTAATTAGTAGTTTAAAATGGCAAAACCACATGGATGATGATAATTTCAGTAATGATAACAAAGTAATGATAGATTCTTTGATTTTGCTTACACTGTACCAGGCACAGTTCTGTGAGTTTTACATATATTAATTTAGTTAATTATCACAGCAATCCACAAGCTAGGTACTAGTACTGTCCTGACTTTACAGGTGGAGGAACTGAGGCACAGCGTTAAACAGCTTGTCCATGGCCTCACAGCTAGTAAGTGCCAAGCCAGGATTCAAATCCAGGCAATAAAATGATGGAGCATGATGCTCCCAGACACCTTCTGTCCTGAATGAGCAGTGTGTTGTCTGAGCATTCCCGCCACGTAAGCCTTACTCTGCACTGAAAGAGAATACTGTTGGTGCTGTCTGGCAGTGCTGTCACATGAACTCTGAGAATCATTTACATGTTGTTAAAGTCATAAATTTTTGAAACTTTGTGGATGACAAAGTAATTGTGTATATGCTATACTAGTGTAAACTAATATGTTCTCTGGCATTTGTGCGTATATATAGATTAATTATAGTTTTTTAGACTACTTTTCTTGTTCAAAAAGTAATGCCATATGCGGAGTACAAAAAGCAGACAATATAAGTATAGACAAGGAAAAGTAAAGCTCTCTCCTACCCCAGACCTCAGCCCTCTAACCTGGGAAGCAATGCTGCCATATTTCATATTTTCTTTTATTGATCTGTATTTTCTAAATTTCTAAAATATGCAGGTAGTACTTTTGTAATTAGAGAAAGGTTACTTTTTAAAGTCCACTTACAGTTCTGTTTTTTTCCAGTTTTCTTTCCACTTTTTAAAATTTGAATCGACAAATTATATATATTTATGGGGTACATCCAGAATATTTTTACACACATATAAAGAGAGAGTTTTTTCTTAGAGGCAGATGGGAGCATACTATTGATACTGCTCTATACCTTGCTTTTCAAGAGTTTACCTTAGAGGTGATTCATATCTATAGCTATCTTTCTTTCCTGTTTTCATGGCCATATAGTATATGAACATGCCAGAATTTATTCAACCCTAAAGGGTATTTATTTCCAGATTCTTCCTACTATACATAGTGCTGTAGTAAACATTCTGGCATATCTGCATACATGTGCAAGTATGATGCAGGATAAATTTGCTGTCAGTGGAACTGTTGTGTCACAGGTTGAGCATTTAAAATGGTTGTATCCTGCCCAGTTGCTCTTCAAGGGGCTGCACCAGTTTATGCTCCCACTAGCGCTGTGTGCTAGTGTCCGCTCCTCATTCCTCCACCTGCATGGGAGTGTCATTAAACATCAGCTTCGGCTGGTTAAAACCTTTCCTGTTTTCATGGCCATATAGTATATGAACATGCCAGAATTTATTCAACCCTAAAGGGTATTTATTTCCAGATTCTTCCTACTATACACAGTGCTGTAGTAAACATTCTGGCATATCTGCATACATGTGCAAGTATGATACAGGATAAATTTGCTGTCAGTGGAACTGTTGTGTCACAGGTTGAGCATTTAAAATGGATGTATCCTGCCCAGTTGCTCTTCAAGGGGCTGCACCAGTTTATGCTCCCACTAGCGCTGTGTGCTAGTGCCCGCTCCTCATTCCTCCACCTGCATGGGAGTGTCATTAAACATCAGCTTCGGCTGGTTAAAAATAGGACATTAATGCTTTGTTTTGCATATTTAAAAAGAATCATTATGGTGATACCCAACCTCCTCTTTCCCTCCTCAGGTGAACATGGATGATCGGTTTGGGCAGATTATGATTGAAAACCTGCGGAGACGACAGTGTGACCTGGCGGGAGTGGAAACCTGCAAGTCACTGGAGTCACAGGTCAGAGAGTAGGGACTGGGATATCCGCTTGGACCCCTAGCCAGCCATGGAGGGACATTCTCCCTTTGCAGATAAGATAATGTGAGAAGCCCTTTTGAGTACCTGCCGACACAGGCAGCTAGGGCTCCATGTGGGCCACTGATTCATGCATGATGCTAGGAAAATCCAAGCTGTTTTGCCATCTTGGTATGGAAAACACAAATTTGCATTTCCCACACCTTATTATTTTAACTTTTTATGATGCAAATTTTCAAACCAACATAAAGGTGGAGGGAATTTAAAATGCACACATGTTCCACCAGCTTCAATAGTTACTAACATTTTGTCAAAATCGTTTCATGTGTTTCCCTCCACAATTATTTTGTTGGTGTCATTGGAACATTTTCTGGCAAGTCCCAGACAGTACATGCTTTCACTCCTAAATATTTCAGCGTGAATCTCCTACTGATAAGGACTTTCTTCCCCCATTAGAGTGATAACACCATCAGACCTCAAAAATTGACAGTAATTCCTTCTTAGCATCTAATACCCAGTCCATGTTCAGTTTTCCCAGATTGTTTAAAACTTTTTTATAGTTGGTATGTTTGAATCAGGATCCTAACATGGTCAACATATTGTACATGATTGATTAAATATATCTTACTGAGTTTCCCCCATTATAACAGTGTGTGCTCAATATAGTGGGATCCGAACCCTTGGTGGGAGCGCCTCTGCACTCCCAAGCGGTGCACTGTAGCAGTGCACCACTGGGCTGGCCCTATTGGCAGATTTTTAAATGCACTTTTTCCCTCATTATAAAAGAAATTGTTCTAAAAAAATTTCGAGCAGTATAAAGTGTAGGAAGTATAAGGTAGCTCTCACTCTGTACTTGCTCACCAGAGACAGCAGTTGTTAACAAGTTGGAGCGTGTTCTTTTCCTATGAAAAGGCTATATGTAAAGAAGAATATTTATTTATGTAAAGATAAATATTCATATATAGATTTCTGTTTTTTCAACTTGTGGATTCATACTAGACATACTGGTCTGTAAACTACCCTCCTTTATTTAAAACTTGATGATCATATTTATCTTTACAATCTAAGTATTGAGGCTACCATATTCTGTTTAAGGGTACATAGTTGTTTATATTCATATGTGGACATAGTACATTGGTAATAATAGTTTTAAAGTAATTTAAAAATGTCTGTAACTGGGCATTTAGTTTTGGTCTCTTTTTTTATTGAAATGTATTGGTTATACATATTTATGGGGTACAGAGTTGAATATCTATACATTTATAAATGTGTGATGATCAGATCAGAGTAATTAGCATACTCATCATTATAAAACTTAATCATTTCTTTATGATGGAAACACTGGAGGGAATATCACTGTGTGTACATCTGTGTAGTGCTAGTGCCTGCTTTAATTCTGTTTTTATGATTACTTTGTGCTTCATGATCTGTGCTTTCTTCTTGCCTTTGAAGACCTAAGATACAGGTTTTGGTCACTTACAAAGTCATCAGAAGGATTTTTGGCCATGCTGCTTCATAGAACTTATTAACATTTAGAAGTATCCCTGTTTTTTTTCCAATTTTGTCTGTCAGTAACTGGCAATGAAAGCCTTGAACATTTGAGAAAGTGCTGTTTCCATGTGATCAGGGTGATACTTCCTGGATTCTTCTAGAAGCATCTTTTCCCATGGGCAGGTTTTCAGATGCTACATGTTGAGACTGTGTACCCTTGACATGTTCTGAATGTCCCTGTCCTGGCATCTGCAGTGGATGCTCTAGCAACTCTTCTGTATACCCAGGGGAGGTGTCAACCACAGGAGAGCAACTTGCTTTCAGGCAGTTGTTTGTCTAATGTGGCCATGGCCTTTTGTAGACAGCAGCATGTCCCTAACAGCGATGGGTGATAAGATGGGACAGACTCTGGTCTGTTTGTCCCAGGCCGAACAGCCCTCCCCTAGCTCTGTGGGTGCTGTGTAGTTTGTGGCTGCATGTGCTGGATGCCATGGAATATAAATAGAAAGCTAAGGTGGGCCTTTTCATTTCACAAATGCAGAGTGCCTTCTGTGTGCCAGGCACTTTTCTAAGCACAAGGGATACAGTGATGATCAAAATCGGCCCAAAGATGTGCCCATCTTTGAGAGCCACATTCTAGTGAACAGCTTCATAATTAGTAGTACGTATCTTCTGCTAGTTGTACTTGGTAATAACCATCCCCAACCCTTCATTATGGTGCTGGTTTTTCTCCAGAACTTGGTATTAGGAAAGCTGTCTTGGATGTCTTTTGGTAAGGTTAGTTGGGAAGCAACCAAAGTACTTTATGGATAGTAATTCTCCTTTCAGATGTGGTCCTTAGGCATGCATACCAATACAGGAGAAAATACACAGCTACAGAAGCCTGCACAAACACACGCACGTATGTGTGCACCCATGTGCATACACACACGCAGACACATGTGCACACAAAGCCTGGACAAATGGCAATATGAGATTTTCAGCCACAGCTATTGTGAATAGGGGGAATGTGGGTCATTTTTTATGTTCTTCTGTATACTTTTTGGAAATGCCTGAATTTTCCCCCACAGTGTACACATATTTCCACAAAAACTTTCTTTAAAAGCCATTTTCATATGTTCGTGCGTGTTTCTCTCTGTGTGTATGTATTTAAAAGTTTATATTTAAAATGCTTTTTCTGAAAAGTCATACATGGATATAATTTTTTAAACCCCCCCTCACTTAATTACCTGTCTACTACCCTCTCTCTCAAGAAACAACCACCATTTCTAGTTTCTTCTGTATTTCCCAAAAGTAGTCTATGCATATACAAGCATATATGTCCTCCACTTTTTCTTTATATACATAGCGGAATCCTATGCACATTACTTACTAAGCAACTTGCTGTTTAAATTCCAAGATGTGTCTTGGAGGTTGTTCCATGTTAATACATACAGACCTTATCCCATGAAAAAAAATTTTTTTTCATGAAATGTATGACTCAATGTCCCATTTTTTAAAAATAACTGCATAATATCTTATTGTATGAGTTTGCTTTAATTTACTCAACCATCTCTTCTAGTTTAGTTTTTTGCTTGTCACTGCATTGGAGCTATGGTGCTACAGTGAATGCTCTTGAACATACATCATATAGGGTAAATTCTTGAAAGCAGAATTGCTGAGTCAAAGGATGTATATTTTAAAGATTGCCCTCCAGAGAGGTGGCACTGTTTTGTAATCCTACCATAATTCAGTGAGCACCTTTTTCCCATGTCCTTGCTAAAATGTATATCAGCATTTCGATCTTTGTCATCTGAGAGTTGAAAAAGTATCTTGTATTTTCATTTACATTTCTTTTCCCAGAAATGAGACAAAAAACCTCTTGTTTTTCTTTTCTGGTGAACTGGTCTTTTTCCTGTCTTTTAAATGAATTTTAAAGTTTTTCTTCTTGACGTTGAATAGCTTTGTATATATAACAAGGAAATCAACCCACTGTCATTTATATTGCAAATATATTTTTCTAGTTTTTCACTTGTCTTTTGATTTTGTTTCTGATATGTTTCTTTTCAATAAATATAAATTAAAATGGAACAACACCATACATACTATTTGTAGTCTGCCTCTTTTCACTTAACATATCATGAACATCTTCCATATTGGTAACTATAGATGATCTTCTTCATGTTTAATTGTGTAAATTTCTATTTTTCTATTTTAATTCCCTCCACAGGATAGAGTCACTTGAATTCCTGGATGAGATGGAGCTTCTTGAGCAGCTCATGAAGCACTACTGCCTGTGCTGGGCCACTAAAGGAGGAAGGGGCCTGGGTATGGGATTTTGCTTTTGTTGTTTTGACCTGGAAATAGGGATCTTTTCTTCCACAAAGAATGAAAGACATACCTGGATCTTTAGGCACAGAAAGAACTAAAGGATTATATATGTGTCTGTGAGTGTCTACAGAGAATTCACTGTTACATCTTCTGTAATTATAATGCAGAAACCAGGAGAACTGCTTAAACAAGCCATGTGCCCCAAAAAGTAACCAGTGTTTGTCTCTTTCATCATCCTATAACCAGGCTTCCTAGATGTTAAACACAGATCATTGCATCTCTCTAACAACCCAGGCAGCTGTGGCTTGCATTCCTCACTCTTCTCTCTATGACTAAGGTGTGCTTCCCTGGGCATGGCAGACAAGGGCCACAGGGAGTGAGCATGGATCCATGTCCCAGTTTCTTGTTACCTCTGTCTTGACCCAGCTCCTCCTTTTCAACTGCCCCATGTCGGTCTTGCTCCCCTGTGGTTATTCCTTGGGTGTCTCTGTAGCCCAGAGGAGACCATTTTAGATCGCAGTTCTGGCCTTTGCTGTAGTAGCTGCCCTTCAAGCGTCCTATAGATGTGATCTGAATGACACAGGACCCCAGGCAGGCAGCTGATACAAAACAAAAACTTGACAGAGGCAAGGACTGTTTCCTGTATGAAAATTCCAGGTTGACATGAGACTATTCATCAGCCCTTGGGCTTATCATTCCTTCATAAGTTTACCCAGCTGTGCAGTTCAGCCCACAAAGTCCTTTCAAATTTGTTTTTGATTTAAAATCATTTATTGGTTTGTTTTCATATTGTTATCCTCCCCCTATTATAAAAACAATATAATTTTTAACAGAGAATTTGGAAACATTTAAAAAGTACGGCAAAGAAAAGAAAATTCACCCATATGCCTATCACTCAGAGATAACCTCTAGTAACTTTTTCCTTTCAGTCTTTTTCTAGATATTATTTTGTTTTTATGAGTTGAACTTATATATTTATATGCCTTTGAACCTGACTTTTAAAATTTAATATTATAACATAAGCATTTACCCCTTTCTAATAAAAACTCTCAGCATAATGGCTTTATAAAATAACGTATGACTGTGTCTAAATTTAGTTATCTTTCCCATTAGTTTGGGAAATATAGGTTATTTCTAATACTTTTAGTTAACTCTAGTTCTTACAAAGGAATGATCTATTGAACATTTAATGTAAGGGGCTTCTTTTGTCCCCACTGTCCGTCTGTCTGCTTTAGGATATCAGTGCTTGTATGTGCATGTTGTAGCACCATCTCTGCATTTGCTAAATGTTTAGCATTTAAAGGGTAGATTTTTGGCATTAACTGCAGAGAGCCCATAAACTGTTATAATGCTTTCTTAATCCCTATGAGACCACCCACAAGCACAGCCTCACCCAACCTCTTATGTCCTCATGAAACCTCATTTTGCATAGGAGGTGAGCAGAGCTGTGGCAATCAGATGTGTGCCTGGTACCCCAGAGCCAGTCACCATGGGCCCACAGCAAGGCCACATTCTCCCAGCCCTTTCTGTTTTCTCTGCTGCATACTCCGAGAATGTCTTTACAGCATCTGTGTGTTTCCTCCCTTCAGGTTTGAAGGAGATAAGTTATTAATCTGTGGAAAGCTCATGCTCATGCTGAACCAGAACTGAAGCGGCTAGCCTTCCCAGAGGAGATGTGCTGAGCTTCCTAAGGGATGGGTTGGCCTCATCTACCAGTCTCATTCCACACTCTGAGAAACCTAAGGTTACTAAAGTTGTCATACCAGTTCCTATTGACTTATTGTTGTTGAAATAAATCTGAGTTGCCAATTGCATGTGTGTTGGACCTCTGCCAATCGTCTGCTCATTCTGTGTCCACGGGCTGGGCAGGCGTCACCTTTTGTCAACTAAAGACAAGGATCCTGAGTCCTGCTTTGTCCTTAGCTTACTCCTGTGAGTCACTCAGCTCATGACCTTGCATCTGTTTTGGGATTTAATCCCCCAGGTGCTCTTTGTGGTAGCACCTGACGTTGTACCTAGCACCTTGCCCCTTGGCCTCCACCAGGTACTGGAGCTCTTCTCTGGCCCCTGTTTCTGCCCTTGCCAGACTAGCCCACTTGATTGCCTCCTTCATCTTGGTTATTGTGGCAGGTCGAATGATGGCCCCCTAACGTGTCCACATCATGATCCCTGGAACCTGCAGTGATGTTAACTTCGGTGGCAAAGGGGGTTTGGCAAATGTGATTAAGTTAAGGATCTTGAGGTGAGAAGATTGTCCTGGATTATCCAGGTGGGCCTGATGTAATCACAAGTGTCCTTATTAGAGGGACAGAGTCAGAGTAGGTGGTATGATATGTTTTGAAGATGGAGGAAGAGGAAAAATGTGAGGAATATAGGCAGCCAGTAGATGCTGAAAAGGGCAAGAAAACAGTTTCCCTCTTCAGATCCTCCAGAAGGAACCAGCCCTGCGGATATCTTGACCTTAGTCTAGTGAAACTGATCTCAGATATCTGATCTCCAGAATTATAAGAGAATAAATTTGTGTTTTAAGCCACAGTTTGTGGCAATCTGTTACAGCAGCAATAGTAAACTAATACAGTAATGATACAGAATAGTAGGGCACCTGGAGTGATTACCCTACCATTCAGAAACATGAGGCCTGTTCATACATGATAACTTTTTGGTTACGGGACTGGGACTGTGAACCTGAACCTGTGTGTGCTCTCCTCTGCTGGAGAGGTAATAGCCTCTTCTCCCATCGGTTGGAATCTTTAGACCAGTGTCCCCTAGAGTGGGGGCTGCATACCACTAGTGGTATGCCTGTTGATGGTAGTTGGTGCACTGATAACAGCATGAAATGAAACTGAATCCCTAAGAGAAAAGATTATTTCCTTTGGAGAGGTAATAGCCTCTTCTCCCATCGGTTGGAATCTTTAGACCAGTGTCCCCTAGAGTGGGGGCCGCATACCACTAGTGGTATGCCTTTTGATGGGAGTTGGTGCACTGATAACAGCATGAAATGAAACTGAATCCCTAAGAGAAAAGATTATTTCCTTTTCTGTTACCTTTCACATCTTCTCAGTTCAAGGAGAAGATTGTAGGGTAGTAATAGTGTGTCTTTAAAACTTCTGTAATATTCACTAATCCAGTGTTTTTGAAACCTTGGGACCAAGACTTCAGTGGGTGATAAATCAATTTAGTGGATCAAGTTCATTATTTAAAAAAGATCTAGAATAGAAAAGGATCATAGCACATAACCACCATTCTGTGCTCTGTCTCTACGAATTTGACTACTCTACATACCTCATATATGTGGAGTTGTATAGTATTTCTTTTGATCTAGCTTATTGTACTAATCATGTCTTTGAGGTTCATCCATGTTGTAGCATGTGTCAAAATTTCATTCCTTTTTAAGGCTGAATAATATTACATTGTGTGTATATGCCACATTTTGGTTACCTCTTATTCCATCAGTAGACATTTGGATGTTTGTACCTTTGGGGCATTGTGAATAATGCTATCGTGAACATTTGTGTATAAATATCTGTTTGAGTCCCTGCTTTCAATTTTTTTCAGTATATACCCCAAAGTAGAATTGCTGGATCATTTGGTAATTTTATTTCTTTCTTTTTCTTTTTTTTTTTTTTATAAAGATGACCAGTAAGGGGATCTTTAACCTTGACTTGGTGTTGTCAGCACCACACTCTCCCAAGTGAGCTAACCGGCCATCCCTATATAGGGATCTGAACCCGTGGCCTTGGTGTTATCAGCACTGCACTCCTGAGTGAGCCATGGGGCTGGCCTGGTAATTCTATTTCTAATTTTTTGAAATTAGAAATAGAATTCCATACTGTTTTCCACAGTAGCTGTACCATTTTACATTTCCATCTGTAAACAATTGTTCCAATTCCTCCACATCCTTGCAACACTTGTTCTTTTCTTTCTTTTTTTTGATATATGTAATTGTCGTCCTAATGAATGTGAAGTGGTACCTCATGGTGGTTTTGATTTGCATTTCCCTAATGATTAGTGATGTTGAGCGTCTCTTCATATGCTTGTTGGGCATTTGTACATTTATAATTTTAATTCTTATGTTTAGGTTTTTGATCCATTTTGAGTTCATTTTTGCGTATGGTGTTTGGTAAGGGTCCATCAAATTCTTTTGCATGTGGATATTCAGTTTTCTCAGCATCATTTGTTCATTTTTTGAGGAGACTGCCCTTTCCCCATGAAATCGTCTTGTACCCTTGTAGAAAATCTTATGACCATATATATGTCAGAGTTTATTTCTAGACTCTCTGTTCTATTTCATTGGTCTATTTGTCTGTCTTTATGCCATTGTGACACTATTCTGATTACCTAGACTCTCTGTTCTATTTCATTGGTCTATTTGTCTGTCTTTATGCCATTGTGACACTATTCTGATTACTATAGCTGTGTAGTAAGTTTTGAAATCAGGAAGTGTGAGTTGTTCTACTTTATTATTCTTTTTCAAGATGGTTATGGCTATTCAGGGTTGCTTAAGATTCTGTATGAATGTTAGGGTGGGTCTTTCTATTTCTGCAAAAAATGACATTAAGATCGACAGAGTTTGCAGATCACTTTGGGCAGTAGTGACATCTTGACAATATTAAGTCTTCTAATCTATGAACATGGGATGTCCTTCCATTTATTAATGTCTTTAATTTATTAATGTTTTGTAGTTTTCAGCATAAAAGTCTTTAGCCTCTTTTTTTTTAATTGAAAGATAATTGGTTATACAGATTTGTGGGGTACAGAGTTGAATATCAATACCTGTGTACAATATGTGGTGATCAAATCAGGATAAGTATTCATCATTACATTCATCATTACAAAATGTAAGAATTCTTTGTAACCCTTTACCAATTTGTCTCTAACTCCCCTCCCACTCCCCCTTTCCCACCTCTGGTAACCACAGTTCTTTCCTCTCCTTTTGAAAGTTCATCATATTGGGCCGGCCTGGTGGCGCACTGGAGAGTGCGCTGCTTGAGAGTGTGGTGGTGCTCCCGCCGAGGGTTCGGATCCCATGTGGAGACCGGTTCCCACTCACTGGCTGAGCGCAGTGTGGGCACAACACCGAGGGTTGCGATCCCATTGCCGGTCCCCGGGATGGGCGCGACACCGAGGGTGAGATGATATCTCAGTGTTTTTGGGTTTTTTTGTCCTTTTTACTGGCTCTCCAGTATGGGAATCTGAACACGTTACCTTGGCATTATAAGGCTGTGCTCTAACCAACTGAGCTAACTGGCCAGCTCCTCAGTGTGGTTTTGATTTTCATTTTCCTGATGCTTAGTGATGTTGAGCATTTTTTCTTTCATCTGTTGGCCATTTGTATGCCTTTCTTTGAGAAATTCCTATTCAGCTCCTTTGCACATTTTTTAATCAGGTTTTTTTTATTGTTAAGTTGAGTTCCTTGTGTATTTTCAATGTTAATCCCTCATTGGATGTGTATTTTGCAGATATTTTCTCCTATAGGTGTGGAATATACTATAAACCATAAGTATTTCACAGGGCCTGGTTTTCCAAAGCCTTGCGGTTTCAAATATTGACCTTGCAAGGACAGGAAATTTTCCTTAGGCTATAAGTCTCTGTTGCAAGATAAGAATCGTGGCACAGCAGGTTGCTGGCTCAAAAACAAAGTAGTTACTGATTGTTAATATAAAAATACTAAGAAATTGCTATAAGAAGGAATGTTCGCTAAAATCAAGCTTGTGTTAATAAAACCACTTAATTGCCTTACTGGAATGTCATCTGGCTTGTTTCACTGAAAGTTGCCAGCCTATATTGTTAAACTATAACCCCACCTTTGTTCTCTTCCTGTAACTTCCTGGTCTGGAAAATAAATGCAGGAAGAGAACCTCAATTTGGCGTTAATTTTCCAAGGAAGGGATCCCTCTCGCTTAAGGGTTCCAGTGGGAAATTAACCACTTTGGGGCTTATCACTGCTCAGAAGAGATGGGCTTTAAGTAATCCTTTGCATCTCCATCACCCAGGGCAAGTGGGGTGACAAATCCGTGGGGGGCGAAGCAACGCAAAGCAACATATAGGTTGCCTTTTAGCTCTGTTAATTGTTTCCTTTGCTGTGCAAAAGGTTTTTAGTTTGATATAATCCCATTTGTTTATTTTTCCTTTTGTTGCCTGTGCTTTTCGGATCTTATTCATAAGGTCTTTGCCCAGTCCTATATCCTGAAGTGTTTCCCCTATGTTTTCTTTTAGGAGTTTCTTAGATTTCTCCTGGAATTTTTGTATTGATCTTCAGTGTTCTGCTCTTTCCATTTTTTCCCCTATACAAGAGAGGTTCTCTAGTGTTTCCAGCGTCACATCTCTGTGGAGATTCTTCTGGGAGAAATACAGGAAAGCCCACTCCTCCTAAATGAAGTTTACAGCCACATCCTCAAAGGCAATTGAGTCATTTCCTGGCTTCCGCATGTCCTGGGATCTTCCCGATGATGCCTGGCAGGTGAAGTTACCTAAGGCATCTAGGTATAGTGAGACAGGATCCTGAGCACTGCCAGTGAGACAAAGACTCTATTGTGTTGTCTCCATGGCTAAGTTTATTCCTAAGTATTTATTCTTTTTTGATGCTATTGTGAATGGAATTATTTTAATTTCCTTCTAGGATTTTTCATTTTTAGTATATTGAAATACAACTGTTTTGTGTGTTGATTTTGTATCCTTCACCTTTGCTGAATTCATTTATTAATTATTAGGTTTTTTTGGTGGAATATTTAGGGTTTCCTACAATAAGATCGTGTCTGTTAGAACAGAGATTATTTTACTTCTGTTATTTTAATATGGATATTTTTTCTTTCCT